TAGATAGATAGATAGATAGATAGATAGATAGATAGATAGATAGATAGGTAGACAAAGCTATCCTGTACAGATGTAACACTGCACTATTGAGCTTTTTCACTTGAATTTACATCATTACTCGGGGCTAAAAATAGCCCCTCATACATTCATGCTACATTGAACCCAGGTCAGTCATGTTACAACATCCTATCACTTTAAAAATGAAGAAAGCTCCAGGATGCTCTCGGCTATTTTTTTTTTAATCATTATCCCTGCTTATAAATAGTATCTTGAGATCCACATTCTAAGCACAATAAGTATTGCAATCATCTATCATACATGCTGTTAAATGTTATCTTCTATTTCCCTGTAGAAAGAAGTGATTATTTTCTTTTTTTTTTTAGAGGATCTTCAAGAGGAAAATTCCATATAATTAGATCTCCTCTGCGACACTTTAACACAACCTCGACTGAGCGGAGATCTGAGCGTTTGGCCTCCCCTCATGGACTAAATTGCTTAATTAACATGGAAATGAGAGACCCACAGCCCAAACTCCAAATCAGCTTACAACCAGACTGAGTCAGATGAATGTGAAATATACCTTCTGCAACTCTAAAAGGGCAGAAAACACAATCAGTTTTTTTTATAATTGAATTGTGGAGACAGTGTTGACAGCTAATACAGGCCTTATTTCATAGCTGTGAGCCAGGATGTTTATCACAAGAGATGGAAAAAACAGCTGCAGGTTTACTAAATAATTAACAGATTTATTTCCTGGCTGATATCACACACATTTAGGAATAACTGGTGAGTAATAGAAACATCAACCCACTATGTATAGTTTCATAACTCAGCAGTGATTTTACATTTGCATTAGGGGTTGGAGGGTTCGGCACCCTTCCCTGTATATTTCTGAGTAATTTTCTTACTGGCAAAAACATGTTCTGATTCTGCTTTGTCTTAATTGAAAGGGAACAATGTGGCGAAAAAGATGCATGAAGATATATCAGCCTCACTTTAACCCCAAAAATCTCAGCAACACACTAAAAGCAGCCTCACCTCTGTCCACTGTCCATTGGTCTGTCCCATGAGTACGACGCAGGGGTCCGACTTGTTCAGTGTGTCCCGGTCCAGCAGAGCTTTGCAAGACACGCGCAGCTCCACTTTAGAGACGCATGTGGCTGGGCCGCTCAAGCTGGTGGCAGGGGAGGTGGCCTCCTGAACATCATTCATCCTGGCTCAAGGTGCGAGAAGCTGCCGACCAGCGGAGTCGTGCGATGAGAGGCTGTCGGTGTGTCTCCGGGGGGATGGGGGAATGAAGCGGTTGGCTGGCGGATCTCGGCAAAGCTTTGGCACGCTCACAGCAGACAGGCCCCTTTGACTTGGGACAGATGTGACAAACACAGAGATTGTTGTTGAGTCCCAGGGGAACCAACCAAAACCAGGCTGTCACTGCCTATCAGAGCTATCCGCTTTATGAGGGATGATGAGGAGACTAGACATGAAATGGGGGTCTGATCTTTTAAAAGTCTACGTCTGATTCCTGCAAATGTACATTTAAGAGGGACAAATTGAGTGCTGACTGTTTCCTTATGGAAACTCCTAAAAACATTTTAAAAGAAGGAGTCACTGTGGATGATAGTGCCATAAACAAAGATACTGCTATCATATATCAATGAATCCTGTTTTCCCTCTTATTCATCAATGACAAGAACAAATGATGGAATGGTGGAACAACCCTGGACATGAGAAGGCACCCGATTTTCTTTGCTTCTCAAATGATCATTTATATCAAACCAGCACAGGACTTTGGTTTGTTTAGAACCAAATATGGGCATCATCCGCCCAGGTGAAGCGTCCTTGAGCAAGACGGTTTTGCACAACGCTCAACTGCTATCAGGGCGTGCATTGGTTTTCTTTGCCGGTATTATTTGCCGGAGCTTTAACATCCTGAGCAGAGAAAGGAGAAGTCTTTCAGGACCGGGGACAGCGCCCAGGTTCTCCAGCTGGGAGAACTGGGAACCACACGGTGCCCGAACGCACCCAACCCATCCTAAACTTAACTCAGGGGGGCTCGACACCTATCATCACGAGATTCAGAACTAGACCAGGTTTGTCTTACGGAGATAAACTTTAAACCTTCAAATCCACCAGTAAGAGCAACACGTAGAGGGAGGAAAAAGGCAGCGCATTTAACCGAGTAACTCAAGGAAAGAAACGCTCCTGAGCGGTTGTTTTTCCTCATTCATCACAGCCACAAACCTCCCGTCCAGGAAACACGGAATAACAACCCATCCTGCCTCGGGTTTCTTTCTGTAACAACTGCAGATTAATCTTAGAGCAGAGTACTTCAACAACACGGTTATGTCATTGACTGGTATCACTCACCTCCACTCAAACAAGCAGCAACAAGCACGCGCGCGTTCAAAAACAAAACCCAATTGGGAGACCAATTAAGAGCTAAAACCTTCTCCACCTACCTTTAGTTGTTCTTTACTCCGCAAAACACTTGTTTTATGAGCTCCCATAACACACCGCTTGTTCTGTTCTGTTTTTTTTTTTGTTTTTTTCTTTTTCTCTCTCTCTCTAAGCCGAAACTCATTGGCTCTACTGGAGAGGAGGGAGTGGGCTCGGCTTGTAGAGATGGGGAGCGGAGAGAGTCCAGCTGCTGATGTAAGGGTGGGCTTATTTCCATTCAAAGCCTCGGTAAAAAAGGGGCAAACGTGCCCGTGGAAGCGCTACAGAGGCTTCCATCTGACAGTTCAAACAGGAGATGGATGCGAGCGGATGTGTTCAAAGCTGTTGTGTGATTTGCTGACAAAGACCATTTTGAATGTGACCCATGAATAGAGCGATAAAATTAGGGTAGCCGGAGGGATGGGATCCTGCGTTCATCTTTTTAGAGGATTTCTTTTTGTGTAGATTTCCCACCAGCATCAGGATACTCTTGATACAATCTACAGTGGTACCAAACTAAAGGCAATATCTGTGCATTGTAGAATCCAACCTGCTTCATAATTCTAGTTTGGACAAACAGGAAACTGCAAGTGTAGAATATTAACAGAAATTACTATAAAGAATAAAGGGAAGATCTGCATCAAACATGTGGCAAACATTTCCAGCGTAGCTCATTCAGATTTCCAACATGTCAAAGGCTCTGATTAAGTGTGGTTAACGTTATAATCAATAACCATGAAAAGCAATCATCCAAAATGACACTCTTGGGAAGTATCAAAATGTCAACAGTAAAGCTGAAGGCAGGTACAGTCAGTTTGAACACCAATTAAACATTAACAACTGTTGGTTGGGGGAAAAAAAGCCAAAAGCAGGAAGAAACAGTCATATTATGCAACATCAGCTCATCACAATCAAATCTCCACATGGGAGCTCCAGGCAACCGAGGGGGTCTCTGAGCTTTGTTTGATGCACATGCACATACCAAGCCAGGTTCAAATGCCAGCGTCACTGAATGTGATCCGCATGCAGCCTAGATTTTCGGTGACTTCACAGCTACTGTAGCTCTTTCAGTTACATAATGTATTGTTTTTAAACGGTGTTTATGCTTGAACCCTTTCTCAGTCCACCCACAAATGTTTTATCTTCATGAATGTATTTCCAGACATTGCATAACATTTACAGACTGCACTGACAAAACAGCAGCTCCTGGAAACAGAAGGCAAACGGGAGTGAAGGCCACAAAAGGCAAAACGGGTTATTAAAAAAAAAAGAAAGAAAGAAAGAAAGAAAGACACAAAAGTGCATTTTTGTTGGATAGTAAATTATGCAGGACTTTGTGACATTACAAATGCGAAGGTGTCAGATTGTGTAATTAATTCCTCTGGGTTTTTAATCAAATCATTCTAACGTGTCCTTTCAGGGGTACAACTTTGTTTTCAAAAGAACGCGACTCCTTCAGAGGCTTTCAAAGCAGAAAGGAAGGTCAATCCAATCGCTCCAATGGCGTGAAAATAAAACACTTTGCTCTGCTTTTTTCTGTTTGTTTTTTTGATGATCTGATCTGCTGAGCATATCGCCATCTGACCTCCTCAGAAACTGACTGAAAGAGTTTGTCAGTTTCTTTTAAGAGAACATGCAAACACGTTCAGCGTTGCCTGGAGTCAGCGCAGCCCAGCTGTCTCCCCCCACCGCATCCTCTCTTACTTGGGCATTCAGAGTTAGTTGGGAGGCTTCAGCTGTGGGGCGCACACCTGAGCCCCGACACTCCGCAGCTCCTAACGGCGGCCATCTGCTGCTGCTGTGTGGGTTCAGCACCTCACAGGACGTTCCATGCCGTTACACTTGGATTATCTGTTCAAAGCCCCCCCCCCCCCGATGCCTCTCTCCGATGAGAGGCCTGCTTCGTTAATGCTGACCACACAACACAGTCCAAATGGGATGACCTCTTAGCATGCCCTAACCCATCTCACTCACAGACTTCATAAGAGCCGACAGTCTTCTACCAGCACTTTTAGTTTTTGTGCATATTGTGAAATTTTCCCATTTATCGATGTCGCCCCAAACCGAACTATCAATGATAATCAGTTCATTAGGTTGTTTCCCCAGAAGGCTCTAATTCATTTTAATGTTTGTAAAAAGTGGAAAAGTGAGAGAGAACGACTAAATTACTCTAAAGTCAGAACTGAACATGAGTAACTTTTCTAATCATTTGAAAATTGTCCAAACTCAAAACTTAACCTTCTGAGCCTTTCTCAAAAAAGATCATAAAAAAACAAATTTATGGTACTGAAAGTCACTGAAACTTGACTGAAGATTGGGTGACAGTAAGTTACTTTGAGCTAATTTAGGACAGGTATTAATGGACAGGCTGGACATTCTGATGTCCTCCTTTGGCTGAATCAATCCTTCCTTGTCCACAACACGGTACTGTCCACTCACCTTCATTAACTGAATTATTCATGCTCGTTCAGGCTGTTGGTGATCAGGGATACACTCAAGGAGAAACACAAGGGCACTGGATTTTACCTCCAGCCCGAGTGTGTTGACGTGCTGAACTGCTGCTGGTTTGTTTCTGTAAGAACATTTTATTAATCAGCAGCGGGAAATGGCCTCATGACAGGCACCCTAGCTCATATATGGGGAGTCTACCTGATCTTTTTGATTACTGGTTTTGCCTCTTATGAACCCCAAAATGTGTCCAATACGTGCATGTGGTTTAGTTGTCTGCAGTTCGGTACGGGGCTATGAGCACCTAACCTGTATGATTGAGATGTTTGGGACCCAGGGGCCATGTCAGGCTGTTCCACTAAAATGTTAGCGGCCCCCCCGCTCCTGACCTATTATTCTATCTATTTGTGCACACTGTGACAGGGTCCAGGTTTGAAAATAGTCATTGACATTTGCAAAATTGCCACAAAATAACTACTTCTATTAGCTAGTAAGGAAGAGGGAAAGTCATGAGATATCAGTTCTGTCTGCTTACCGATGAGTTGGATACATTTCTGAGGTAATTTTCATGTTATTTCAGTATCTATGTCAGGCTTTAATCATGATTTCAAGAACTTCTGGATTCCAAAGCCAAAGCCACGTTCCTCTGGTGCCCCCTACTGCTGGAGAGGGGGAGAGCACCAACAGAGCAAACTGGTTCATTTAAATTCAGGTCAACAACTCAAAGATCACATTATGAACATTTGTTTATATTTCTGATATTGACAAAAGCATTAAGAAAAAGGAGTGTGAATACCTAAGCTGATGGCCATGACATGATCCAAGAACACCTTTGAGCATCCTCCAAGTGGATATTTAAGGAGATAAATCATTTCCCCCTCTGGCAGCAATAGGCTTCGTCAACACAGGAAGTCCCAATGATGTCTTTCATCCCAACAAAACCATTTTAAATGGGTTTGTATTTCATGGTTAGCTTTGTCTTTTCTTCTCTCCTCAGACGATTTATAAACACTTAACATGTATATCTATCATTAAAAACATGACCATCTCAAATTGCTAATTTTAAAGACTTTATTTTGCAAAGTTCCATAGCGACTATTTTCACTTCTTTTTTTCCACGTCCTGCTCGGCGGCCTCTTTGGCTCTCTTGGCACGGATGCCGAACAGACGAGCATTGGCGCGGGCCATACGCAGGCTGGCGAACGCCTTGAAGTTCTTCTCATCTTCAGAGATAACCCGGGCCTTCTCCTTCTTGTGTACCTGAAGTGATAAACAGGAACAGCCTGGTGAGACGCTCAACAGTGTCACTTTAATCAATTAAGCAATCCAACCACATCTAGTGTTAACAGGTCCAGGTTCAACTTAAGATAAATTGCGGCAAATTGGTATGTTGCGTCAAATGGATGCTTCCTGAAAAGCAACAGTCTCCTGGGCTCCCAAGCAACTTCATTTAAATCAAAAGCAGTCATCAGATAAAGGGTTCAGATTTTTCATCAAAGATATACAGAGATTCCGGAGATTTATCATCATGGACTGCTGGGAGGCAAAAATGTTCCCAAACCACAAACGTTGCGGTTTGAGCTATACCAAACAATGAGTTTGAAATCCTCTTCCATCAATATATCTGTAAATGTGTTCATCCTTATCTTAAATATGAGAAGTCTTGCAGGAAATTCAACTTACAGTTTTGATGGGCATGACTGGACCAGTGAGCTGAGTGGCCATCTTCAGTTCCTCCTCCTGAAACAAACAGACCAGTCAACACCTCTGAACCTGAAGGTCCAGCCTCAGCCCCAACAACACATGGGGGCAAACAAACGTACCGAGCTGTCTCCCTTCTTGGGTGCGGAGGCCTTTCTGGGGAACAGGATGAGTTTGGAGCGGTACTCCTTCAGGCGCTGCACGTTGGCCTGAAGAGACTCTGCGGATCTGTTACGACGACGAGGGTCAACGGCGATGCCAATAGTGCGAGCTGTCTTTTTGTGGATGCCAGCCGCCTGCAGGGAGGTAACAACACCATCAGAGAAACATTTGACCAACTCAAGTGGGCACGCACTCCTTCCAAAATGCCCATTACTTCGTTTTTGGTTTAACCACAGCAGTCATCAGAAAAAGGGTTCAAGCTTTTCATCAAGAAAATACAGAGATTCCGGAGTTTTGTCATCATCTGACTGCTTTGGTTGGCAACAATACCTGCAGATACAGGATTCGTACACTAGTTTTCTACTTCAATGGGGCCCCACTGGAAGCCGGACTCACTTAAACCAATACTCTGACCCTGGTCTTAAAGTCCTGAGATGCTGATGACCCTGTTTCAGTTTATATATTGGTAAACTGTATTCATGAATATGCATAATGAGCATCAGTCTGGGTTCAAAGCTGGTTAATCTACAGATTGCTCACAATCAGGTGAAGAAAATGTCACATCCAAGATAATCTCAATGAAAACTATGACGTTTGAGCCTACAGTCTCATGAAAAAAATCAAGCACCAAGTCCACATTGTATGAGGTGCACCACATCATCCTGCCTGATTCCCACAGCAGGAAAGCTACAGAAGGGGAAAGATGAAGTACACTTTGGCAAGAGCGTCACGGCCGAGTGGCACTTCGTGTTTCTATTGGGCTCCTGGAGTTTGTCTGGGTGGGATGTGTGATTCATCTCAGAGGCTGAGCCCATTCTGTTTTCCTTTCACAGAAACTGTCAAGTGCTTTTCTGACGTGGAAGAACTAAATTTAGGGGCGCATTCCAGCTCAACTGTCAGCCAACAGTGACAAACTGTCTTTTCCTCCTTCAGTGTTCTGGTGCATTTTGATAAATGGTGTTTAATTCCTTCACTAGTCTTGTATACAGAGCCTGTGTTTTATCCAGCTCCCATTAAGTAACTTATTTCCTCTTAAATATATTCACAATAAAATTACCTTCAACTCCTCCAGGGTGAATCCACGTCCGGCACGAACCTTGGTGTGGTACCTGACGGTGGGACACCTGACCTGTGGCCTCAGTGGTCCAGCGACAGGGCGAGGGGCGATGCGGCGGGCCTTTGCCTGACGAGCCTTTCGCCTGAGCAAAAGGGCATTTTAAGTAAAAACCCATAAAAAGCTCAGGGACCAAATGAACAGCAGCAGCTTCAACAAAATAATTATTACTTGTGTGTTGCCATTTTCATTTTAACAACAGAGCAAATAAGAATCCCAGAATAACAGGAAAGATTTGGGGTTTTAGTGAACACATGCAACTCCATATAAATGCAGGAGAAGTACCATAATAGCAAAGGAGCCCTAAAATTCTACATCATTTTCTAGTCCAAAACCGCCCAACATAACATTTTCACAGTAATGTAGAATACTTTCTCCTTTACAACTTAAGTTTAAGAACAGGCCAACCTAACAGTTTTAAGAAAAAAAACTATTTTTAGACAGTCGTGCCACATACATAATGAGAAGGGTTTGATTTTACTACTCACTTTCTACAATAGGTCACTTTAAAAATGCATTACTTGTTGTAAAATTAGTCTACAAACATTCAGTAACAAGCTGAATCACCAACTCAAGAGAATAGAGAAATACACCACACAAGATGCCAAGACAAGCAGTCACATCTAAAAACAAAGCTTATCCAGGGGAGTTAACCCCTTCAAACGTTTGTTTTTTCTTTGTCACAGTGCAATGATCTGGCAACAGCTCATGCTGATATATACTGCTGTGGTTTCTGTGTGAAGTTGATAGCCCTTTTGAACTGCTGGTTGACAGTTTCCACTTATCCAAATACACATGTGGATACACGGTTTTGCAATGGCTTAATGCACTGTAGACAGCCACAAAAAGTAGTGTGGCCTAATTGAAGATCACATAAACAATACAGTTCAACACATAGACGAAGATGTTTAAAATGCTGTACCGCGACCGGCCCTGCCACATATCCAGCCATTAGGTGGATGCCATTAGCTAGCTAGCTGTTAGCATCCGTCCGCTGCAGTCCTCACCTGCGGATCTTTCGGGCTGGCTGGTTGAACCAGGTGCGCACTCTCTTCTGCCAGTCTTTGTGGAAGTGGGGATTCAGAATCATTCCATTCCGGCTGGGGGCCATGGCTGCCTACTTCCCTGCAACATACCCAAGTACAGAGACATCAATGGAGAGTCATGCCGGTGCAGAGGCAGTCCATACCGACCCGTGTCTGACATGCTAACACGTTAGCATAGTCGCAGTCAGACAATGCTGGGTTAACATAACCACACGGGGTGTGAAGCTCATCCTAATCGCTTTAACATCTATTATTGACTTGAACACTGAGGGTCACTGTTGAAATATAATGCTTCAGTGTTGAGTTTTAACGGTTATGCTAACAGACACCACTTAATCGGGTGTCCTCACTAAAAACATCAGCTACTTGGCAATTTTGCGTACACATTCTCAGCAATAATCACCTTATTTAGAAGTTTACAACCTGAACAGTTTCACACCGTCAACGTAAGTCACAAATACACCTCAAACAACAAAGATTGAAGCAGATTACTTTAAAAAATTGAGAGAATAAATTCCCATACCTACGAGGGAGGAAAATGGCCGAAGGGAAAAAGGAAGTTGCGACGCAGTGCATTGTGGGATATGTAAGAACCAGCCAATAGTTAAACAGACATTTTCATAAAAATATATACGTAGACGCCGCGTCGATAGATAGATAGATAGATAGATAGATAGATAGATAGATAGATAGAT